AAAATTATGTAAAGTTTAATTGTATTGGCTACATATATTCCCCCCTAGAGATGCTGCTAAGAAGGATCTCTAATGAAATCTAAATCGAGTTTTCCGAACTTGAATTGGTATTCGACTATTTCTTTGAGGAATTTGTTTTAAATTTGGAATCAATGTCATCTTTGGATCTTCTTCCAGATCCGTGTTAAAAGTCGGTTTTAATCTGTCAATATTTATAACTTTTTCGGTTCCATTTACATCCAATGTGGAAAGTTTTTGTCTTCTTTTAATGACACGGAAGGGACCTTGATATGGGGGTTGAAGGGTCTTCTCGAACAAATACAAATTTACAGTTTTCCAGATCTTGAGATACAAAAACTGTACTATTTGTTTTATGGACTGGTGTAACCGGTTTTATTGAATTCATTATACTTTTGAGAGATTTTATGAATTCATTTGTTGGCGTATTATCAGATGTTTCGACAAAAAAATCTCCGGAGTTCTGAGGGTGAACACTGAAGGTTTTCGATAAAACTTGAACGAAGACCCAACATGACAATTGGTAGGTTATCATACCAATTAGAATTGTGATACTCTTTTAAGACATCTACGCCATCTTTCGATCATGCCATTTGCAGATGGATGATACGGGGATGTACGAATTCGTTGAGCTTCCAAAATATTTAGAAGCTCTTTGAAAAGTTGGGACTCAAATTGTCGGCCTTGATCCGTGATAATTTGAGTGGTACACCAAATCTGGAAATCCAATCTTTGTAAAAAGCTTCGGCTACAGTTATGGCTTTGCAATCTTCTAGTGGTCCGACCAGATCTATATTGATATGGCAGAATCGCTCCGTTGGAGTGTGGTATGAAGACATTTCGCTACGTGTATGTCTGGAAATTTTTGATCGTTGACAGTTAACGCAAGTTTTGACCAAATCTTTTATATTCTTACTCATATTTGGCCAAACAAATCGCTTTCGTATTGCTTCATATGTTGGCGAATATCCACTGTGAGTAAGATCGTGGAATGTATGAAAAACGCTTTCACGATGGGTTTTGGGAACAAACGGTCTTACGTTCTCAGTTGAGGTATCACAATAACCTCTGGATTTTGTCAAATCCAGAGGTTGATTCTGGACTTGCTTTACCGAGATTTTGCTTGAAAGCGAACATCAACGGTTTGTGGTCTACAAATATAATGAATTTTCTTGCTTCGAGCATATGAGGATAATATTTTACTACCGTTTATATAAGCAAGAAGTGGTACTTGTGTAGTTGCTGCATTTGGAATAAATGTTCTGTAGAAATTAACCATGGCAACGAAACGACGCAGTTCTTTAACGGTCTTGGGCGTAGGGAAATTGACAGTAGAAGTCACCTTTTCAGGAACCTCTACTGCCGTTTTCTTCAACACGATGACCAAGTATATTAACTGCATTCAACAACTACTCCATATTCTTGAAGACGTTGAAATACTTGATTGAGATGTTGAACGCTTTTCGTTTTCGGAAGCAATCAGAATGTCGTCAATATAAGGGAAACAAAAGTCGAGTCCTCTAAGAACTTTATGGATAAACCGCTGGAAGGTTTGTCCAGTAATACATCGGCTCCTGTGTCCACCAGAAAGTGTTTACCAACGGTCTTATCGTACATAAAAAGGCGATTGGTTGCATTTCCCCCGTCACTATTGGCATCTAGTGACCGGGTTGTAAGTTTTCCGACTGATTGCTTACAAATGAGAATGTAGGACGACGCTTATGAGCTCTGTTTTTGAATTTACGGTGATAATAACAAATTCTACCAGAAGATGAGTTACGACTGGAACTACCATGTGATCCTCTCGATCTGCTTCTTCTGGATGTGTTGAGACTGCGTAGAGCAGAGCTGATGCTTTAGATTTGAGCTTTAATTTCAGATATTTCGCTAGCACTAGTAATTTCAGCTACGTTTGCGTTTCGTGGAATCTGTATATCACCAATCTTATCAGCCATTTTAACAAGATTATCTAAAGTTTCGGAAGATGTTGCTAAAATCGCTTGAGTTTGGGATGGTAATCTTTGTAACCACATGGTTCGCAAAAAGTCTTCTGAAACACCACCATTAGCCAAATTTTTCATCTCTCGGAGAAGTGCGCTTGGCTTTTTATCTCCGATTTGTCAATAATGTTTTGATGCGATTTTCCTCGGAAACAGAGAAATGATCAATAATGCGTTGTTTTATTTGCTTATACACATCTTTGGGAGGATTCATAACGATATCACTCACCTGACTACGTCAGCATCCAAATCAGCCAAGATGATAAAGTATTTGGTCCTTTCATTGGTAACGTTGTGTAAAGCATATTGAGCTTCAATTAGTGCAAACCAAAGAATCGGAGAATCGGATTGTCTTTCCAGATACGAGGAATTTTAATGGCAATGGATAAATTTGGGTGGGTGCATCGACAGCAGTAGGATTCTGGCCAGCGGCGGATGTTGAACATTGCTCTGCGGTAGAACGTGTTAACGGCATTTTTAATTTATTATTATTTTTAAATCTAATTATTTTTAAATCTAAAGTATATTGATACAATATTATTTTTTATGTTGAAAGTATTTTTATAAAGTTATGTAAAGTTTAATTGTATTGGCTATATATATATATATATATATATATATATATATATATACAGTGTCTCTCATAAATATTCGAATTTAGGTAAACTATGAAAAGAAACCAAATTTAATAATATATTTTGTGTGCAAAATAAATAAATAAATTTGTTATATTGTCTAGATAGTCCTAAGTTTTGATATCACGCCCCTTAAAACTTGAAAACTTTACATTTACTTAAATTAATTGTGTTTTTTTTAAAAAAAGTCCATGAAACTACTTCACAAAAGTATGCGAATTTTTCCCGTATTTCATATTTTATCATATTATACGATACACAAATTTTAGAATCGCATGGTTTTATGCTTAATATTGTTTTGAGGGGTTACTATCAACCGCATGGATATATTTTTGACCCATTTGGTCCACAATTTTGGGGGATTTGTACCCTCTTTTCATGTAATATCATTAAGATGACGATTTTTGGCTATATTTGTATGTTTCTCACCCTTTTTCCAGAGATAAAACCAAAATTTAATATTGGATTTTAATAGAACCCATAGGGTATCTAAAAATAATATTTTTTGTTATAGGGATCTGTACTTAAACGTTCCAAGATGTATTTTTGGTATCGTTTTTCAGTTTCTAATTGAATTATCTGGATCATAAGTCCCTTTTCGTACCTCTAGGGACGATATTTTCCGACAAAGTTGTCTAGTGTATATTCATGTACATATTGGCACTAATGTAATTTAAATTTTCAATATATTATAGCGGTATACAACCCCAAAACATGCCTTAACATAACGTCATCCTATATAGTAGATTTCAGTTTTTACTACTCGTAACTTTCACGCTTATGTAGCCCGTTACAATAACACTGTAAGTCCTAAATTTTGGTTTTAATTTGATCATAGTAAATAATATTTAAACACATATCACACATTTTTGATGTGATCATAATGATATCGTGCCATGCAGCATGGAGGCCATTGGTATATAAAAATAATGATTTTACTATTTTGAATGGTGCTTCTTCGAGGCATGTTTTGGAGTTGTACACTTCCACAACACATTGAAAACTTAAAATGTATAAAAGCTGATATCTAAAAGAATATATACCAGAAAACTTTCCCCGAAAATAGTTGATCGTAGTATTATAAAAATGGACTTAAGTTCCAATATATTGAATTAGCGACAGAAGAATGATCCGAATAATTTATCTTGGAACGTTTAAATACAGATTCTTGTAACAAAAAATATTATTATTAGATACCCCAAGGGGTCTTTTAAGTCCCAATATCAAATTTTTGTTTTATATCTGGAAAAAAGGAGAAAAATTTGCAATTATGGCCAAAAATCGCCATTTTAATGATATTACATGAAAAGAGGGTACAAATTCCCCAAAATTGTGGACCAAATGGGCCAAAAATATATCCTTTCCGTGGATAGTAACCCCTTAAAACAATATTACGCATAAAAACCATTCGATTCTAAAATTTGTGTTTCGTATAATATGATCAAATATGATATACAGGAAAAATTCGTATACTTTTGTGAGGCAATTTCATGGACTTTTTTTAAAAAAGCACAATTAATTTAAGTCAATGCAAATTTTTCAAGTTTTAAAAAGCGTGATATCAAACATAAGGACTATCTAGACAATATAACAAATTAATTTATTTATTTTGCACACAAAATATATTATTAAATTTGGTTTCTTTTTATAGTTTACCCAAATTCGAATAATTATGAGAGACACTGTATATATATATATATATATATATATATATATATATATATATATATATATATATATATATATATATATATATATATATATATATATATATATATATATATATATAAATTTAAAAACTCGGTAAAGTAAACCACTTACTTTTCAATGACTACTACTTACCGTCTGCAATACTTAGAAGTACTCTAGTAATGACTTTCTTATAATCTGATATAAGAAGTACTTTATTTCCGGCTTTGTCATTTTGTTTGCACATTTCATTTAATTGCGTGTTAAGAATTGTGTTTCACAAAAAAGGAAACAAAATGCGCAATAAAATAGCTAAGCGGTGGTGCAGTGAGTAGAACATACGAATTCCCTGGTTCGTATTCTGGCTGGGTCTTTTTATTATTAAATAAAACAACTTACTATAAAACTTCTTTGTAAGAGAAATTGTAAGTACTTCTTTAACTTCCAATGACGTGTTAAAAAATGACTTAAAATGTGAAAAGAGGTTTTTTATTAGCTTTTTAACTCATTACTTTTCAATGTAAGTTTTTCCCTGTGAATCTATGATTTGTAAAGACAACAGCAATTGGAGCAACCTTTATAATAAAATAATATTATTTTTAATTTGTGTAAGTGCTTAATATTTGTGTATTTCTAAATTTTTCTTATTATATTTCAGAAATCGTGCCAAAAATATTGTCTACTTTTTAAATCAAGCCGATATGGTATAGAACGTTTAGAAATTTGTGAATCTAAAGAAGATAAAAATCCCAAAATCGTTACACTAGAAAATTGTGTTAAAATTACACAAGAACCATGTCCTGCAAACTTAATACATATCGTTAAAAAAACAGGGAATTTAACTTTGAACGCAATGAATGAAGATAGTTTAAAAGAATGGGTAAATGCTCTTCAGACAGTGGCATTTCGAAGTAAGAATGATACAATTTTAACACAATCGGCAATTGAAGAGGATAATGATTTATATTGCAGTTCATATGGTGATGGCTTATTTATAGTTACGTTAATACCTTCCGAAGCTTCGATTCGTTGTAATATCGAGCCTAAAGTTTATATGTTGCATTTAACTCCAACAGAACTGCAATTAAAATCTACAAGCGATTTAAGCGAAGTAAAATGGCCATATAGATATATAAGAAAGTATGGCTACAGAAATGGAAAATTTACATTTGAAGCTGGAAGAAAATGCTCTACGGGAGAAGGTATTTTTACTTTAGATCATACAAACCCACAAGAAGTGTTTCGTTGTATGTCATCAAAAATGAAATCAATGAAGAAAATGATATCTGGCGACTGTGTTAAAGATAGCTATGAAAACCAACTTCATGTTGCTGCATCAATGGAGGCTGGATCCCGTAGTCCTTTACCACCATCTCCATCTAACCAAAATACAACAGAATTTGAGATAAACTCTACTCAAAGTACTTTTTCTGTTCGCAATTTATTTCCAATATGTGAATCGTTCAATAGTATGGGTGTAATGATTACTCCAAAAACAATCCCTAACAAGCCACCTCGAAAAATAAATATAACTGAGAAGGTAGCAAACAAAATGCCTGCAAGCAAACAACCCTGTAATGAAAAGTTTGTTAAATTTAACAATTTTGAAGCAGTATCAATTACTTCATCATCCGATCCAAATAAAGCTGTAGGTTCTATGGTTGTTTTAAAACCATCTTGTGATGAATATAGATGTTCGCAAGAAATTGAAAATTCTGTCCCTGAACTTCCTGCTCGCAATGATTTGAAATGTGAGAGAGATTATGAATGTATTGAAACTATTACAGATGCATGGAAAACATTGGGTATAAATGACGTAAAACATAATGAACATATAAATTCTACCGATCTCAACGATATTATTTGGACACGTGCTAATTCTAAAAGTATTACTACTCCAAAAATTATAGATATAGATATTGGAGAATGTAGTAAAAGTCATTTGAATAACACACGTTCCGATCTTACATATGATCGCCTAGATTATTTGTCAGCAAATAATAAAACATCAAATGGTTACAAAACAATTGTTACAGTGGCTCCCTTATCGACTAAAAATATGGCATACAAAACTTCACAAAATGAATATGAATTAATAAATGTTTCAGTACTAGAGTCAGTTCGTAAAATTGAAGAAAATAGTTTAGGATACGGAATTCTTCGGCAATCACAAATCTTGTCAACATCGCCCAAGGAATGCGAAAATGAACATGGTTTTTCAAAAAACATAACTATAAATGCTGATTCCAATTGCTCAGAAAATAAAACTGACACTTCTAATGATACATTTCTGGATAACGATGAAGGCAATTCTTTAAACTACGCTGTAGTTAGTAAAGGAAAACGTGTATAATATATTTGCTTTTATATTTTAGATAACCAGTAAACTATTTACTTAAAAAATAATGTAACCACAATTAATTAAAAGTTATTGCAAAAAAATGTATGTAGGTATGACATCGTAAATAATTTTAAATAATATTACATCATAAAATCATTCCTACAAAAGATATAATATTAACTAACACTTTTGTGCATCAGATTGACTAATTATTTGTTCACCTAAAGTTAAAATACATACATACATATTACACACTTGAACGATGATTTCAATTCAAACATGTCTCGCACCCAGTACTAAAGTGACCCAACTCAAAATTTTATTTTTGCGTTTTTAAAATCTTTATGCCTTAAGTTTAAGCCTTAAACTATACACAAGATACTTATTTATCTCAAGAAAATATTAGTGTATTCTGTTGTTGTTAACTGTTCAAGAAAAAACGTTATGTATTTCTTTATGTCTCAGAATTTGTAAAAATCTGTTTCCTTTTCTGAAAAAAATATTTTTTGAGTTATGTCACTTTTGTAATGGGTGCACGAATGTGTCTTTGCAAGTATAACAGCGTTTTATACATCGGCAGAAAAATTCCGCTGCTTTTACAAATCTAGAGATCCCGAAAAATCCCGGGATATTTATAAATATACATAAATTTAATTATTTTATACCTGAAAATCTTAAATCTTCATGTTTGTGAAGAAAATTGTTTAATCTTGTAGAAATTAATCAACAGAACATAAATTTATATTAAAGCAATCCAATTAATACCAATTCTTAAATAAAAACTTTTAGAATATCATAATTTCAGAAATTTGGTAACTACATACACGTTCAATCCCTCGAATATCAATTTAGATCATAAATGAACCTTTTCATTGGAAAATGTTATCTACATTCAGAACAATTTAATTTGCCTTTACCATTATCACTCAGATTTGTAGAAAGCTTGAAATGCAAAACCTTCTAGATATCATTTAAAAAATAAATGTTATATTTGACTGTGCAGAAATAAGACCTGGTTCAGACTATGCCTCTTGGGTCAGGACACCAGTCATGCCTTACGAGCTTGTAGGCAAAGAGGAGAAAGACCTGTTTCAGACTATGCCTTTTGAGTCAGGGACACCAGTCCACAGTGGGGCAGAATGGAAATTTTTTGGAAATAAATCTGGCATTTCTAAACGGCTGATCCGATCGGGATAAAATTTGGCGTGAGCGTAGCCAAGGAGTATTCGAGTTTAAGTTTTGAAGATGAACCCTGCAGATGCCCCAGGGACGGCGCTGTGGCGGCTCAAAGTAGGGTACCTACGACATGTAAAATTTTTAAACTCGTGCAATTTTTTTGTTTTTCACCCAAATACAAAGATTTTTATATTTTCTGAAAGCGCTCGACGAGATCTTGACATACTACTTATCTCTTATAATATCCGAGTTATAGGCATTTAAAAATTTAGTGATACAAAATTTACCATACCTTGGTCCGCCTTTTTTTGAATACCGGGCGTAATTTTGGACCAAATGGACTCAATTTTTTCTTGTTAGTTAGACAACAAAATTTCCAATAATATACAAAAAATTTCAGATCAATATTGTTTACAGATCCAAAAATATACGTTTTTTAATTTAAAAATTCAAAAAATTTTAGATTTTTGGCTTTTTTTTGCCAAAAATGTGTCTTAACTCTTTTATTAATAAAATAAAATTTTTATTAAGAACATATAACAATTTTATAGTTTTCTAAAAGGTATCTTTACGCAGAACGCTTTGGCGTAAAAAACTTGTCCTATTTTTTGAAAATGTTGCCACTGCGTCCTTCCGAATATGACCTATTTTTTATCAAAACTTCAACTTTGGGCGACATGTTCTAAAATCCCAAAGCTGGGATCAGAAAACTGAAAGCAGTTTTGGAAACCTCAATATGTTTTCTATTTACTCCAAAAGTATTTTCCCAGCCCTGAAAGAAATGTGGACCCTATGGGCAAAAAAAGTAAAAAATCCCATTTTTGGGATTTTCATTCCTATTTTTGGGAATTGCGGGATGCCCTTTGACCTTTTCAATTTTTTCTTATTTGAAATGACAAATTTAACAAGCGTTGAAAATTTCATTGAGTTTTGTTCATAAATAAAGATTTTGTCATATATTACATATTTGTTTAATTTCTAAAACTATGATTTATATCAACATTTTAATAGGGTCCCAGATAGCTACAACAATTTAGTCCATATTTATCCTTTAATATAATTTTTTAGTAAGATATGGAAATTCTCGACCCTTTACAAAAAATTTCAAGCCAATATCTCAATTACATTCAAAAATATGTTCATTTAAACCTGTGTCCTTTAATTTCATCTTTTTCATATTTTAGTATTAAGTATGACAGAACATATTTAAGTCTTATATTTACCTATTTTCTATTTGTTTGCTTATCCTTATAATTGAAAGGTCCTATTATGCTTAAATTTTCAGAAATTTATAACTATTTTTTACCTAAATTTTTTCGACACATCATTTCGTTCTGTTTCGTTTATGATCATGTAGGTAAAAATATACAGGTAATGATAATTTCGATTCATTCACTAATAAGAAATATCAATGACTGAATTACAGGTTATAGTAATATAGTCCTAAATGTTAATAGGTAGACAATTTGTAATTTTTTACTTTGGAATACCTGTATCGGAAATGACAAGAATTGGTATATAAGTAAACTTCTACAATGAAGATTACATTAAAGTACGAAGAGTTGTGTTCCGTTTTATGGAGTGTATCTTCAAAAGGGCCAGAAAGAATTGAAGACATTTCAAATTATATAAAAACTACATATAGTAGAAAAGTAGACAAAACAGGCATATCAAAAATTGAAAACTTTTTAAAACTTTTTGATGTAAAAAGTAAGTCTGTGGATGGAAATCAAAAGAAATTTCGATTAAAATTTTGTAGTTGGATGGAAACTACTACGGAAATCTCAGTTCAGGTGGGATTAAACATCGACAAACCACTTCCAAGTTGCGGTAGTACAAATGACGGTAATACGGCGAGAAGGTTTTTTCGTGATTTTGAAATTACTTCAAAAATAACTGGAATCGACAAGGAGTTGCTTCGAAGAGTTAACACTATTTTAATGGCACTGAATAGTAAACATAAAGTTAATGGAAATCGATTTGGGGAATATACATCTGAAATTTCTAAATTACTTGTATCTCTGTATCCATGGAGGAAACTAACACCAACAGTACACAAAGTATTGTGTCATGGTCAAATAATAATTGAATCGAATATTCTTCCACTTGGAGAGTTAACAGAAGAAGCCCAGGAAGCGAGGAATCGATATTTTAAGCATGTTCAACTATTCAGCTCAAGAAAATGCTCCAGGCAATCACAGAATGAAGATGTTTTTAATAGTTTTAATAGTAAACTGATCCTGTTCTTTCAACTATGCGAAAAAGATGGATTTGTTATGAAACTCTATCATCTCAAAACAAGGAAGATTTAAAGGACTTATATTACCTTCTGGATATGTATACCGATATGACAGATTATTTTATAGAAAATAAGTAGTGTTAGGAATTAACTATATAAGTAGGTTGTAAGAATTAATTGTATTATGTTTAAGATAAACAGTTCAAATAAAAATAGCTATTATACTAACTGATGATATTGTATTAAATTGTGTTTTATATTTCGGTGGGCGGGAAAGGTGGTTTGTGTGGGGTGATTTAGGTGTTGTTGTGCGTGGCTCATAATAAAATTATAATTTTTTTATTGTATGTTATATAATGTTATAGTCTTTAATAAAATAATTAACTAAATAATTTTTAAAAATTGTCCAAATATTTTATTCAACACCAAATGTATGTTCTGTCATACTTAATACTAAAATATGAAAAAGATGAAATTAAAGGACACAGGTTTAAATGAACATATTTTTGAATGTAATTGAGATATTGGCTTGAAATTTTTTGTAAAGGGTCGAGAATTTCCATATCTAACTAAAAAATGATATTAAGGGATAAATATGGACTAAATTGTTGTAGCTATCTGCGATCCTATTAAAATTTTGATATAAATCATAGTTTTAGAAATTAAACAAATATGTAATATATGACAAAATCTTTATTTATGAACAAAACTCAATGAAATTTTCAACGCTTGTTAAATTTGTCATTTCAAATAAGAATATGCAAAAAAAAAATTGAAAAGGTCAAAGGGCATCCCGCAATTCCCAAAAATAGGAATGAAAAAACCCAAAAATGGGATTTTTTACTTTTTTGCCCATAGGGTCCACATTTCTTTCAGGGCTGGGAAAATACTTTTGGAGTAAATAGAAAACATATTGAGGTTTCCAAAACTGCTTTCAGTTTTCTGATCCCAGCTTTGGGATTTTAGAACATGTCGCCCAAAGTTGAAGTTTTGATAAAAAAATAGGTCATATTCGGAAGGACGCAGTGGCAACATTTTCAAAAAATAGGACAAGTTTTTTACGCCAAAGCGTTCTGCGTAAAGATACCTTTTAGAAAACTATAAAATTGTTATATGTTCTTAATAAAAATTTTATTTTATTAATAAAAGAGTTAAGACACATTTTTGGCAAAAAAACGCCAAAAATCTAAAATTTTTTGAATTTTTAAATTAAAAAACGTATATTTTTGGATCTGTAAACAATATTGATCTGAAATTTTTTGTATATTATTGGAAATTTTGTTGTCTAACTAACAAGAAAAAATTGAGTCCATTTGGTCCAAAATTACGCCCGGTATTCAAAAAAAGGCGGACCAAGGTATGGTAAATTTTGTATCACTAAATTTTTAAATGCCTATAACTCGGATATTATAAGAGATAAGTAGTATGTCCAAGCATGTTTTTTCAAGATCTCGTCGAGCGCTTTCACAAAATATAAAAATCTTTGTATTTGGGTGAAAAACAAAAAAATGGCACGAGTTTAAAAATTTTACATGTCGTAGGTACCCTACTTTGAGCCGCCACAGCGCCGTCCCTGGGGCATCTGCAGGGTTCATCTTCAAAACTTAAACTCGAATACTCCTTGGCTACGCTCACGCCAAATTTTAT